CAGTTTAAGTAAAAAAATGAACTTGGAACGAATTGAATCTTCCTAGAATTGATTGAGATTGGTTTATTCAAACGCACATGTATCTGCAGAATGCAGCAAAGAATTTTATGAGGCTCAGGCGGTCAAAATTGCTTCTAACCTGCAGATAATTTCGTGTAGTGGTATTTACAAACAATTTTAAGTTTTGTTTTGTATTCTGAAGTATCCTAGTCAAATTGTGAATGAATAGCAATTTCAGATAGTTTCTCGCGATACGCCCATACTCTCACTCCGGAAGTAGAGAATCTGCTCAAACTGCAATATCCCTGTCCGAACCACGTCGAAAACCAACCATAATATTCACAAAAACCAAACAAAGTTCTCACATAAAGCAACGTTCGTTCAAGCATTGTGTCACACAATGGACACGAATCATAAAACTTCTTCAGTTCACCGTTTATCAAACACTTCACTATTTCTGCTTACCTACTTAAATTAAAAGCTTGACATATCGTTTCAAACATGAGTAATTACTTAAAAACATGTTGCCATTGCCAACGTCTTGCTCTTGATTTACTTTAAGACAAATATATGTTTACGATGATAGCCCTTGTTTTGTTTTGAGTACCTAGTGTATTAATGAAAACCAAAAGGTATACGTCATATTTACGAGGCTGCGACTCATATACTTAATAGGAGGCAGAGCCGTGTTTTCCCAGGCAAGTGCCTTGGGAACTTGGATACAGAGAGGCGCCGCGAGACGCATGTGTCCAACTGCCCATTGGAGAATGCTACACGCTCGATTATCGCGATATTTATCAAGTAATATTTAATTATATTTATTACGCTTTTCAGTTACTGTAATTGGTTTTCTACCATTGTGACTGTATAAAATAAATAAAAATACGCCATACTTCAAACTGGATAAATATCGTGGAACCTGGATTACTATCCAAATATCACGACAAATAGGTATCGATCCTGTAGCGTCACAGAGTTAACTAAAAAATAATGTATTACTCACGAACATATAAGTAAGTAGTGAGAAAAGCTTTACTAGCTTTAATAAAAAACATTGACCATAGAGTTTTAC